GGATGATAAGGAGGGGTGAGTAAGATGGATAGGATGATGGGGAGGGGGTGGAGTAGAACATGGATGGAAAGATAAGGTTGATGTTGGATTGAAGATAGATGGGATTAGGGATGGAGTCAAAGTAGACAAGGTAGACATGGGGTGATGGGATATGGATGATGGGTGTAGAACTGTAGAGGAAAGGATGATTGGGTTGGATACAAAGTGCAGAACTGTGCAGGAATTTTAATTATGCACCATCCATCAAACTCACAAATGCGCTGCTTATATAATCATCCAGGTCTAGTCTGACTGTACTGGATCCACATTCTTTAGACATTCCTCTTTCCTGTAAAGAACTGTGAAGCTTTTGTACCTGTATCTCCCTTGGTGGTCTTTGTTGATTTACTTTTAAATGACAGGTGCCTTTCGACACACAGTCTGCACACAGCACTAACTAGGATTTTTCTCCTGGAGTACAATGAATTTTATAGCTAAGGTCGATAAAATATCTTTTACATCTGAATTGCAGTCGTATGTCAACCAAATTTAGTAACCATATTTGTATAACTTGGATTCATAACAAGCAGCGAGCCATGGTGGCTTTGCCGTTCTAGTTTCATCTGTCCAGGAGAGCATACTTGGGGCGCTCGTGTTTCTAAAATTAGAATAGAAACTGGTACTTGATTTGTTTGCACATTTCCATGCCACAAGTGATGTTCAGTGAAATTTAATGATCCTAGGTGTGTGGTGGACCTGGCGACACCTGCAGTGGGGGATGCGGTGGGGCTGGCTGTGATTTCTGTGGTGGTCTAGGTTGTCAAGGATCCATCTCCATGTCTGAGGTGGCATTAGACCGAGCCACACAAGCAAATGACAAATTCCTGAGGAAGAAAGAACAGGCAGACAGCACTCTAGCAGAGGTCAGTAATAGGGTGATATTGCTATGGCTGACCTATGTACTGTATATATCTTCTCATAACCCTGTAAAAAACTTTGGGGTTAAAAGTTAACACAGTTGTGTTGTGAAGTGGGTGCTATGTTTAGTAAATTGATTGCAAGATAGTGTTTGTGATTCTGCCCATTGAGAGTTTGAATTTACATTTGCAGGATGGCTGTGCATCTAAAGGTAAATGACACAAGTCATACCATTAATAGGCCTCACAATTAAGCAGAAACAATCAACAAACTCCTTAGATGTTGATATGTGCATTCTGTCAACTTGATTGTCAATGTACTTGATCATAGATGGACGGTGTCCGTGGACAGACTATGGAAGCCTTAGATCTAGCCAAGATGGCATACGATGCAGCGGCTATGGCTAGGGATGATGCCCAAGGTGCTCAGACCAACTTGACTGGGTTACTGCAAGCCATCAATGACTTCATTGACAGTAAGCGAGTCACACCAGCAGAGATCCAGCAAGTGGCCAGAATGGCTTTGGAAACTCAGATTTCCTCCACTCCGGAGGAAATACAGGGTGAGTCTTTATCAATCAGAAAGATGGACAGTGCGTGAAATTGAAGGCCGCTGACAATCCAATGTGGCTGTAACATTCTGGTAACAACACTGGGGCTTTCTCTGTTGGTTTTGAAAACCTTCCAATTTTGTGAAGAATTAACACCAAATGTCCAAGGAGAAGCTTATAATTGAGTCTAGTGTTTTGTGGATTTTTGGGCCAAGGTTGGTTTTTCAGATATTTTCAAACTTTTCCACTGCAAATATGATAAGTGAAGGGTTATTTCATAAACAATAATTTGAAAATAAAAACTACACAATGTTAACCATTTGTGAGATGGTTTTCACAATTAGAAGTGTTTTCTTAATTACAGACAGGGTATGACTAGCATTTATAAAAAATTGATGGTAATTAAATGGAGATATTCATGATTATAGAATATACAGTATCTCTTCCAACATGTCTCTCTGAACACTTCAAAATGCAAGGAAACTGCAATACCTGTTTTAGAATATTTTTGATGTTTGTAGTCTTTGGATCAAAGATATGATAAATATTGCCTACGCTGGATCTTACAACACCATAAAGCACATTAGTTAAGCCAAGAAAAATAGCTCTGCTTCCGATTAAATAGGGTCAGTAGGTAAGGATTTTTGGACAATCTTTTGTGCTGATTGAATGGGACGAAAGTTGCCAAAAAGTGCCTCAGAAGTGATTAATATAAAAACTTACCAAAATTAATGTGGAAATATAATCAACAATTACAATTAACACTTGCATAATGCTAGTCAGGTAAATACAAGTGTTTTGACATGAAAAGAAGTTGTTGACAGGTGTTTGTTTTGAAAGAAGCTACAGGATTTTTAAAAACTTAAAAAAAATTTTTTTTCTAATTTGCCGATGAAAATTTTTAGGGTTGCACTGAAAAATTACTGACAGTTGGGAAACTGGAAGTGAGATAGGATTAAAATTTTTCATTTTGAGAAGTTGGTATCTCTGAGTATATTACGCTGTAACCATCTTGGGTGAAATATATGCATATTTTATTGTAAAATACATTAAAATGTGTTGACACACTGAAACACGTGAACAGCAAAGTAAATATTAAATTACAAGGAAAATTATTGATTGTGATGTCCTTTATTTTTTGGGGGGAGGAGGGAGAAGTCTAGGATTTATAACAAACTAGTTCACTATAGAAACCTGGGATTCATTGCTTCAGTGTCCCCCATACAGTGCAAATCTCCTGTAATAATTGGCATGTAGAGTACCCAAGATTACACAGTTACAGCACAGTGGACACGACACATCAACCATGGGAAAGATCACCATTATGCATCATCTTTTGCTGCCCGGCAACATCAGCAGTGTGCCCAACGCATGAATGACATACACGCACTTGTAGCATATCACGTGATCATTTCACAACCAAATAAAAATTCGGTATCTAAGACCATAGTATAACAATAGTTACTGTATCTCATTGTCTGTAAAAGAATGTACTCTATCATAAAATAACCCTTTTGTTTTGGATGGAATTTCAGATCTTGCCAAGCAGATTGAGGACACGGTAGCTACTCTGGAGAACATTGATCAGATCCTTAATGACACTGCTGAGGATCTGGCCATGGTGCGAGCCCTGAAGGAGAGAGCTGACAAGGCCAAGGAGTTTGCTGATGATGTCTTGGCATCGGCAGAGAGCGTGGTAGCTGCATTAGCTGAGGCTGCCCAAGCCCAGGACACTGCCAGCAATGCCATCAAAGAAGCTGAGGGGAACATCAATGATGCCAACGATAACCTCATCCAGGTGGGTCTGTGGAGATGTGTGGCCTAATGGTTTGGGATTGTAACTCAAAGGGTCAGGGGGTTTGAATCCAGCAGCTGGTTACATGTTACTCCCGTTCATCTCTTTCCATCGGGGGGTATAAAGGGTACGTGTTAGGGCAGAGATGGTGGTTGGGTTTGATTTCAGCCATTTGTGCCTGAAATGGCATCAAGCCCTTGGATCTACTATGGCTTTAGGAATGCTTTGCTATGAATAAAAATTGTGTGAAACTAAATCACATGCCTATTCAAAACCTACAGGAAGTAACCTGCCAGGAATGTAGAATTATGTAGAATTAAGTAAGTCATACATTGTATGGATGTTTACCCCAATAAGTATCTCCCCATGAAACTTTTTTGATTATCATGGATAATAAGCGGAAGGCATTTATTCCAGCCTATCCACTATATAGGCAGAGGCAATATTATATGACCTTTTCAATAGAATGATGGGAGGCCAGTTGTTCAGAAGCTGATGGGGCTTGTCTCCTTTTGGCAATAAGGTAATAACACTGTTTCTGGGTCATTGAAAGCTGAGCAGATTCTTAGGCATAGTTGAATTACCTTAGTAGGTACCAGGATAAGTCATCACTGAAGGACATTCAAAAACTCATCACTAATACCATCGGAGCCCAGGAGACTTTCCATTTTTAGTTGTTCAAAGCTTTAGTGTATTTCTTTGTGAGTTAATGGAGGTTCAACATATTTCCCTGTGAAGGCATTTATCTCTGTATCGGCTAAAATAGACTTTCAATCAATCTCAGTATCAGCCTCACAAAAAGAATAGAGCTTCTTGTAGAAGTCTCTTGCTTCTAAAAGAACATCCTCACTCCGAGTCAACGTGCAATTATCATCTTTAACAATCAGGTAAATATTCTTATTAACTAAATTACGTTTTACTGTATTAAGAAAATATGTTGAAGGCTTTTCTCCTTGCTCCATCCTTTGAGTCTTTGATCTAATAAGAACTCCTTCCATTTTAAGTTGACGCAAATTAAAAAGGTTGATCTGTTCACTATTAAGAGTTTCAAATGCCTCAAAATCTCTCTTACACACTATACAGAGATTTAGCTGTCCTGGTTACGTTCAGCTTTACAGGCCTTTTTCTATGTTGTGAAAGAAATAATACTAGATTTCATTTCAAAGAAAAGCTGTTCTGGATTGAACTGAATATCTCTGGGATGAACATTGTTGGAAGTTATTTGGTTAGTAAGGGAAGGTGCATAATCTTTCACCACTCAAGTATAATATTTTAAACTAGCTTTTCAGAAGAGAAAGAATTATTGTAATTTCCAATAGCCCCTACATACGAATGAAATCAAGTTGGATGTCAGACTACGTGTAACTTAGAATTAAGCTTTGATGAAATTAGGAAAATGCCTAATCTAGACTAATCTAGATTGTTATGGAACGCCCTGAATTTTGTGAATGCTACCCTAACAGGATTCCCAAGAATGCAACTTCCACCTTTAAGAGCCCCAGCCCCCCATCCCCAAACTCTTACCCAAATAATACCTGTAGATCACCCAATGACAGTATTGTAGATGTATGTAACTATAAAGGCAAATCATACCCAATAATGTCCCTGATGGGGCTCCACTCTACCAGTGATGAAACAGGACATTTCAAGAGCAAACAAGAACTAGTTACATTGCAATTACCGAAGACACACGCCAGTTCTAGGGCAAGGCAAACCATGCACTTTTTCAAATTAAATTCATACAAAAAAATATAGAATACCTTTGTCAGTTCTCCATTTTCCTGCAAGGAATTTCAGTTTAGTTCCCCTTTTATAGAGAGCTTTTATCATACTTCTTCATTCCATTTTGGTTTTTTTTTTTTTTGCTGGTCTTGCGTCGTAAGGTCATGTACAATGTATATGGACGAACCCTCCAACGCCCGACGATGTTCTCTGAATATCTTGAGTTTGTTTTGATAGAACAACATTTTAACAAAAAATACGTTCTTATCTTGTCCATCCTGGTGAGCACATTCTATGCTCGGTAACTTTCCCCAGCCGAACTTCGATGTCATAAAAGTTCTCTGTCAAAGGAATACAGTTCTCCCCCTGGGGTGTGTCCACTTCGGTACGGTACATGTGTTGTCGTTGCATGCACTGTGTACAACTTGCGTCCCTCTGCCATTGCGTTTCATTTATGAGACAGTTTTCAGTTTTAATAAATTGTGATAGAATTTTGTGGATCACTGATAACTGCGTGTGTATTACACTTCTAGATCTTTGATTGTCACCAATTATAGCTTACATGTATAATTGCAATTGAAGTGAATGGGGACAATGGTTTTGTCGGAGTAAATGTTATAATTGTATCCATGACGAAGTAAGAACAGCTCTTGTGGTGGCTTACATGTAGTATGGTACCTGAATCTACTCCTACAATCAAATAGATATGCCGTGTATTGTAGGGAAGCTGTGGCCGACTTGACTTGCAAAACCCTCCGAGGAATGTTTCGTGGACTTTTCATTTTCCCCAAATCACACCCTTGGGATATACAACTGCAGCTTCTATGGTGTCATAGATTGAAGCGCTGTCCAATGATATTTGGTCACACCCTCTGCATCAGTAGTTGGTGCCTGTTGATTTCATTGAGCTGTCACTGGACAGATTTTGGTGGCCAGAGTAACCTCTCAAGTTGCATGAAATGTGCATGCTCTGATAATTGTGGTAAAATACCCACAGTGTTTTGCATTTCTTTCCTTGAAAAGCTTTTACGAAAGTGAACGGTTGTCATCTTTATGACAAGGTGCTGCAGATAATAATTGTCCAAGATCTTAGTGATTGTGACTGAATTTCTGACCCTTACCCAAACAAAGACATTGCTTTTATATTAGTGCCCACAATTGTTAACATCTGTTGCCTGTAAACCTAGTAGTTTTTCCATGTTGTGTTGCAAAGCTTAAACTAAACTTCAAAGTAGCTGTCAGGATTTTGTAAAATGTATGAATTTTAAACCTAGACCAATTATCCTTTGGAGTTTGACTTAACCTACTCACTTTAAACCTAGACCAATTATCCTTTGGAGTTTGACTTAACCTACTCACGGACCATTTACCCAGGGATGTTCAACTTAAGCTCAGAGCTGGTTCAGTGCGTGTTACGGCTGGCACTATATCAAAGCAAAACTTAAATAGAATTATGTAACACTTTCTCTAATAATAAAACATATATTCCTGTCTACCACTTTGTTTTCTTGTAATATTTTAAGTCATGGTACACCCTTTCTAAAAATATGCTACTCAAGATATTTCATCCTATACATTCTGAGAAAAGTGTACCACAAAATTGGGGAATTTTGCCTCATTAAAACTTTGTTTGTCCTTGAAATCGATAAGTGAAGAAGATTTATTGTCAAAACGAATAGATTTAAGCACTGCGTCGTCGGCTGCACTGTACATGCTGCATGCTGCAACCCGTGTCATGTGGTCGCAAGTTTTTTCCCGATAAAGTCGAGAGCGCCTGCAGGGGGTAATTAGAATCCATAACACGCATGTAACCAAGGTCGCACATGTGTTTGCACTGGGGCCGCTTGTGGTTGCACATCCCTGGGTAAATGGTCCGTGACTTATTGAAGTGATGAATGGTTGCCTAGTCTTTGACGTTCAAATCACAGCCTTGGGCAAAGTTGTACTGCTGGTTTTCAGTAGTCTGATAATCAAGTAAAGAGGGTACCAGCAACATGTGTAAGATGTTGCAGACCATAAATGTAGCAAGATGCAATTAATGGGAAAATGTGAGTGACCATGGAATTTAACAAACTTACTCAACCAGGGTCATTTGAGTAGGACTGTATTGCACCTAATAAAAAGCAATTTGCGGTAGTTAAAGTACTCTGAATGCATTGTCAATGCAGAGACCAAGTATTCATGTATATATGCAATATGTTGGCTTACTCCTGTATATGTATTGACCTGTTTGTATAAATTTTGATGATTGTTCCTCATGTCTTCATTTGGTTCTCAGATTGAGTCAGAAGCTGGAGCAGCTATTGACAAGGCCAACGACCTGGATGAAAAACTGACCCAAATGGAAGAACAGCTCAGCAGAGTCCAGGGAAAATTTACTGACAATGAAGAGAAAATACGTACTGCCTTGAACTTCGCCAACACGGCCGATGCTGACGCCGACCAGGCTATACAGGTTAGTGAAGAAAGGGGATAGCCAGGGTACACTGAGGGGATGACCTTGATATACTGTTGGGGGGGGGTTAGCTGCTGTACACAGGGCAAGGGGGAGTTTAGCTGGTCGTACTAGATAGTCAGGGTACAGGACTGGTTCAGGTGGAATAACACTGTGCTGTAGGAACAACTAGGTCATGCAAGTTCAGCCAGGATATGTATTGGGGTTATAAGGGGTACGTAGAGGGGTCAGCAGGAGTGCATAACTAGGTCAGATATGCACAGTACGGATTAAGTACAGAAGTACAGATTAGGTGAGATGAATCAAACATCCAATCTGGTGCAATAAGAGCTGCACTGGGGTCAGCTGTGATATATGTACAAGAGATGCTTTGAAGCAGAATGAAAGGCATCAGTTGGGATGTGGAAGGTTAGCTGGGGTACAGTAGGGGTCAGCAGGGTGTGCAAGGAGGAAGGCTGGGTGTGTGTACAGAACCTAATTTGGTTCACAAACATCTTCTAAAATGAAATCCAAACATTCGCCTCATTTTTGATCCATTGCTGTTGGTAGAGTGTTGGTGAGCTGGAAGCCAAGTTCAACCAGACGTCAGACCAAGTCATGACAAAATCCCAGGAGGCCAGTGATGCTCGGAAGAAAGCAGAAGACCTGATGGAAGAAGCTATAGCCTTCCAGGAGAGGGTCAGCAGCCAACTAGATAACCTCAGAAGTAAGTGATCTCATGGACATTCAATCTCATCACTTTCTGTAGTATCTGAGTGACTTTGAAGTGAGACTAGCAGATACTTCATACGAGTTTCATTAGTGAGTTTTCATCCCACATACAAGTGATGTAATTTTGGAAAATTCTCTCACATGGTGAGGCATCAACTTAATGAGGACACTGTAATGTTTTCAAAATTATTAAATTTGTCTCTCTAGGTTTTCTATAACTTTAGCTGTGCTCTTAGGCAAGTATAACCTGCTGACCTCATTTTGTGAAATCAAGCTTTAAAGTTAAAAGTAAACTTTTATCTTGATTACACAGAATTAACTTAAAAGATTGCAAATTGTTAATATTACATCAACTAAGAGTTATTTGGATATTATAAATGGAAATTGTAAAAATATTTCAAATTGTCAGAAGAAATTGAGAGACTAATTTTCCATTATCCCCAAAATAAGTTCAGCCACATCCAGTGGGTTTTCCCAGAGTGCATCGCATATTCCAATGGATTATGCTAAAAGTACCGCCTACGTAGCATGCTAGTTTTTCAGCTCTTTTTAGATAATAGCTTCAGAGTCAATATTGTTTCAAGGTCTCAATTGGTATACTTTCTGTCTTTTACAGGGATGCAAAGTGTCTTTGAGCAGAACAGGAATACAATGGTGGACCTATCATCACAGATTGAAGCCCTAAACATGAGGATGATGGGTTTACTACAAAATATCCAAGAGCGTTCAGAATATTACCGAACATGCAAGGGGACCTAATTGGATCTGCATTTCACAGCCGGGGGCCTATTTCATCCCACTACCAAGTTTTCCTCACATTTCATATGGAGACTTTGTTGACACAGAAAAGTAGTTAAGGCACATTTCGCTTGGGCAAGAAAGAAAGCTTTAAGTCAAAAAAATAACTGCAAATATTAGATATTTTCTTTTTAAAGGGAGCAAGACTTGCAGGTTGTCCTCTTTAAGTGTTGGCACGCTTTGGAATTAAAGATTCTATCACAAATATTGTCGCAAATAGTTGTGAGGAATTTTATAAGCTGCAGCCATCATATTTGACTGTCTTCCATTAGAATTCTTCTCGCAAAGCTGATAACATCACCTGAAAAATAAAGTACATGCCTATGAAGTCAAGTTTTCAAACGGTTCCTTTGAGTTGAAGCACAAGGCATGGAATTCTGCACAATATCTTTCACTGAGCTTTTCTCAGCTGTATAAAGATATCATCAATGCTCATAAGAAATACACAAGTACATGTAACTTACTTTGCTATTTCTCTGTCTTACTGTCGTCAGATCAAACTTGTCAGACATGTAGATCTCAGTACTTGGTTTTACTCGTAACACTGCCATCTCTTTGTCAACATATTTTTATATCTGCTGAACTACGCTTTTGTATATAAAACAATACTCAAAGGACTGTTGCTCAAGTTATCACTCGTAGGGTGGTGTACGTGAATAGTACTCTATTTTCTGTACTCTTTTTTATTGTATTTATGTAACCCATTAGTTGTTTGATATTGTTACTGTTGTGTAAAGACAACCGAAGCTGCCTTTGCATTTTTTTAACTACAGAGGTTGATATTAGTATAAGTCTGTTACCTGCATTTAGCAAGCCTGCCACCTAGTCCTTGGTTTTGTCGTTAGATGTCAGGTTTTTCCCATTTTTTAAAACGAGGTATTCCTGGAGATCAACTTGAAACAACATTCAGACACATTACCACTATTTTTTTGTGATTTAGATTTGGTTTTACTTATCTTATTAATGCAACTAGAAATAAGTACACGGGTCACAAAAATTCTTCAAGAGGACAGAGTGCCTTTTAGCCCAATGGTGGCCCAGTATTGTGGGCAATGATCACCTGAAAGCTACAGAGGCGGACCCATCACTGTTGTACTCCTGGTATTGTTCTTTCATACGTTGGTGTGCTTAGATCTTCACAGTTTTGTTAATGTGCTGCAGACAAGACCACAGGAGGCAGGTGTACTAATGGAGGCAACTAGGCCACAATATTAGTCTTGTGTACCAGGCTGAAACCAACGGGCAGTATTTATAGTAGTTTGACAGTATTTTATAGTGTTGTGTAGAGTACTTTTTTGTATGTATTGGGAATTTTGTTAACAAAATTGTAATTAAGGCATTTTGAGTGAACTTGCATGAGCAGTAATGGCTTGATTACCAAGCTAATTATAGTATGAATATGACATTTGAGATCAGTCTGGGATAAATTCACACTCTTCTTTGACCAATGCTCTCTGTTCAGTTCAGGACACACTTTATAAATGTCACTTCCTCTTCAGATTGTCTGTTTGTGTACCACATTATTTTTTTTTCACATTCATTTGACCTTTAATTCCCCCAGAACTGAGAAACCACATCCGTGCTGCCTTGGATAGCTTAGGAGTTTGTTCTACATGTATAAATGTCTGTGTGTGATTACCCATTAGATATTTATATAAAGAATAAGGTGAACAGTGTGACAGCAGATGACAGTTGAACCACCACCCCCCCTCCATAGAGGTATTTGGTCAGGAATATGAATGATCGACGTCCAATTCTGGAACATTCAGACAGATGGTTTGTTTACTGCTCACAGAGTTTGTTCCATTATACAAGGATTGTTGTTTGACAGAATGTGATGGATTCATTGAACTGGTTTTAGATCACTTTGTGTTTTATCATTGTCGTCTGTTGTCACTTTCAAACAGCATAAGCAAGTGTGAGTTTATCCCACTGCTCAACCAATTGTGAGTTTTTATATTTAACTTTCACTACAGTTTAAAACAGAAAACTCTGTAATCATTTTTTTTTTATTTTTGGACAAGGTGCTCTAGTGTGTTTTGCTTTCATTTTGGGGGATGTGATTGGTGCTATTTAGCATTTTTGTTCATTTGATTTCTGTTTGATCGACACTTATTAAATACATCTAGTTTATGTCTATTGTAACAAGTGCTTTTGCCAATTAAAATCAGCTATTGGATAATTTAAATTTCAGGTTTTGAAAGAGGTCCCTTGTAAGGAAATTGAATCCATTTAAGTCCAACAACTGCATGGTGCTAGGCAAAGCATACTGTTGACGTTGTTAAAGGTAGGTATGAATAAATAAAAAGTTCAAATGCAGTCAAGTAGGAGGTCAATAAAATGTTTCAGTTTATTGGCTGACATCCTCTGAATAAGAGGAATATAATCAGCACATGAAATAAATCATCAATAATTGAAATTTTTATGACATTTTCAAACATTAAGTTTGAGAGTGATTGTAACTTGTATGTTTGACTTTTAAAGAATGTTCTAATCATTGTCCTCCACTTGAGAAGATATTTCATTGGAAATAAGAAACCACTCATGGAATGTATCCCATTTCATACATTACTTTTGTGGATTTTTAATATCATACAAAAATAAAGTTTGAGCGTGGATAGTCAAGTTTAGGTCTCCAAGGTGTTGGAAATTGCCAACTTCCAAAACAGTTTCCAATACTAAAGGGAGTAATCATTGACCTTCCACCAGAAATGAGTCATGTTATATTTGTTTTATCATACCTTAAACATAATTCAGTTGCCATTACAATTTCAGGAATCATTTAAAGTGCTTATGTCAACATGTCTCACCATTTTTTTCACGTGTGGTAAGGGTGATGCTTATGTGTGTTTTCTCCGCATAAGCGACAGTTCCATAGTAGCTTTGTAAACAGTTGGGGCATAAAGTTTACATACACCTGGTAGAACAAGAACAGTTTTCCTTAAAGTTCACAACTTCACTCATTTCTACCAAATTTTCTTTCTAACTATTTCAAACAGTAAAAGATGTAGAGAAACTGTTTTTTTTTTACTAAGTGTATGTAAACTTTTTGCCCCAACTGTAGCATGTGCCTAGTTATTGTGTTCCCCATATGCTTACACATTACTTTGACATGCTTTGATCCTTGTCTGGATCCAGCATAGTTGCTGTCATATGATAGTGTATGATTATAGCTGCCTGTGATTAAACTTGACAAGTACCTTCATGCTTAAATTTCATCACTGGTATTTTGTATGCCCAGGGGCAAAAGGTCACTTTTCCAGGTCATTGGTTTATTTGACCTCTTGGGCATTTTTCAGACTCAACCTCTCCTGTGACCTTTTGACTCATTGGTCTCCAAATGCTTGGCTGTCATTTGGGCACTGAATTAGATTTTATGAAAATTATTTGCTTACAAAGATGAAAAGTGATTCAGTCATTTTTAGGGGTTTAACCCTGCAATTTGCTCTAATATATCTCGCTCATGTGTCCATTAATCCATGTGAAAAAAATGAATACTTAAACTTACTAATTAAGTCACGTTTGGTTCGAAATTAATGAGTGTTTTGTTTATCTCTTTTGTAACTGAAACATTAGCCCTTTTAGTAACAGTTTTTTTCTGCATAAAGTGTTGATGATTAGGTTGGTTTATTGGTACTCACAATTTTAGTATACAGTTCAGTTGTTTGAAGATACTACATTTAGTTGATTGCATGTTACTTTGAATTTGGTGCAAATGCAGTAACAGGAATCTAATGTGTTTCTTGAAAGGCACTGTTTTATTATTTCAGCCACTGTGAATGACATCTCCTCCATATAGTCAGTCAAAAGGTAAAAGGTTGATTTGAAAGATTCTCTGGAAAAAATGGAGTTTTTTTTAATTATGTTCGAAAAATTAAACTCTGGAATTAAATTTATTGGTAACACTAACAGTTTTGTATAGATCGTGGTCAATCTCAATAAAATTCGAATTTAAAGCCCCCAATATTTATTTCTGTGCTGTAATGATTGTTTTGTTTTTCCAGACTTGGATTCCCAGTAATAATGCTTCTATTCGAAGTGGAGAAAGAATGTTTGTCTCCCTTTGCTACCACTTGATATATCTCAAATTTCTTGAAAGTCAGGTGTATGAACTGCTCTCTATGAACTGCCCTGGTCGAATGTCAGTCCAAGATCAACTTACCGATAGACCACCAGTGCTTTTCTGTGATTGCGTGTTCATCTGCTGCGCTGCAAAAAGTGACCTCAACGAAGGAATATTAGTTCGGACCTGCACGGTGGCGCTGCCCATGGAGTACCCTGGATCATGAAGAGGGTCGATGTTGTTTGTCAAACCCACACAGGTCGATCGCATCTAAGTAAAAGGATCCGAACAAAGACGGGCACGATGGCTGTACGCATTTCGTTATCTCAATTAGACTTGCACGAATTTAGTGAGTGCGATGTTTGTTTTTACGTATTTACAGACTCCACTTCGCACAGTATTTATGAAAATGTGATAACTAGGCCTAGCTATCAATGCTATGATTATACAATATAATTATCGTTTAATTTATTTCGCTAGGTAATGTATTTTTAAGTACAGACATTTTCCATTCCTTTGAATCATGTCAGGCAAAGATTGGAGTTTTAAAAATTGTAAAGGAAACATTTCAGACCTACTGAGTGGAATTTGTAGTAGGTCTGCTGCTCCTTGGAAATGTTGCTTATAGAGTTTGATATTTCTGTTATGTGTTAATGATCTGGAGTGCGGTACCTCGGGTTACCTCCAATATAATGGGGAGTGTGTTGCTTCTCAGTAATAAAATCTACTGAGGGGATATAAGTAGGACACATTTTGGATATCATTTTTAGATAACATGTCTCTTCCATGAACTGCGAAACTTATTGTTCAGATCATCAGATTCTATGGTGATTATACTTTAATTTGACATAAAAATTACGATGCTCTAGATATTATGTCCTGTTCACCTGAATGCATGGGGTACGGATGTATGTAAGGGCCACTTGCAAAAAAAATTTCGAGATCTTGCCGCGGCGTCAATTTGATATCCCGCCGCAGCAGTTTCATAAGCCCTATTCAACGTGCCGTTTTCAAATGTGTCTTTAGCGTGACATGCAGTAAGATTTTGTTTTAGATTGCTAATTGGAACAAAAGGGGATGTTATATTTCATCCAAGCTTGATTTACAACACAAAAGAAATCTCTTTGGGGGTATGAATGTCCATATCCGCGAGTGGGGTAGACTACTTTGACTCCCTGGTAGATTGTTGAAAGGATTACGGTGCCGTTTCATTTATAGTTTAAATAATCCTATTTACATACGCGCCACGAGGGGGGAACGAATAAAAAACAAGAAAAGAAAACAGCAAAAGAAATGAAACTTAGAAATGAAATAGAACATAATAATTTACTTGAGAAAAAAAATCGAACCTCTTCCAGCAGTTAAATGTTACTGTTTTAACTAGACGGTTGCCCCCCCCATTCGGGCAATACCCGTGCATATTTTTAGCCAATGTGTTTTGTCACTTTCTGACCAAACCTCGATGCTGATATCATTCTAACATTAAAATCAGCCATGATTTGGGAGACTTCAGCAGGCAAAAAGAAAAATAAGGTGGAGGTGAAAGGAAAACTAACACACACTTTTTCCTCAACTTTAATGAAATCCGTGCTCTTTGACCTCACATCCAAGCGTTCCCTTGTCACAAACCACCAATACAGTGCAGGGCGCAGGGAAGAGCAAATACATAACACATTTTTGTCGAGAACTTATTGGATGGAGTCGATTTTAATTAACACTCACAAAGACAAGCAGTCGTCCCGGTGTATCATATCGCATTACATGTGAATACGGCCAAGTATACATCGGGGAAACTGGAAGGAACCCCTCCCCACCAGACTCCAAGAACACCGCTCGCACGGCCGACGAGGAGAATACGACAAGTCGGCCAACATCAAACATGCACACGCCACGGACCACCCCATCCAATGGGACAAAGCAGAACTCATCGCCCCCATCCAGAACTGGCTCCCAAGGAGAATCCGAGAAGCCATCGAGATTTTTGGCACAACACCGTACCCCAAGACATCGGTTTCAAGCTCAGCGACATCTGGCGCCCACTAGCACCCAAGCAGACACCTACTTCCGGACAGTAGCGTCCCTTATACCCGAAACCCATGCACCCCCCAGGCGTTAGGGTTTTCTCTACCCGAAGCCACCCCCGGCATAAGGGTCCCCTACACCCGAACCCAAGGTTTCCCGCCAATTCTAGGATCCAACACCTTCACGCATGTCTCTTGTACCATGCAACCATGGCAAAGTAAAACTTTGGATCCGAACAAAGACGGGCATGATGCCACATGAGGTCAGTGTGCATTTCGTGATCGAAATTTGACTTGAACTTGAAATTTTGAACTTGACACGGAGTGAGTGTGGTGCTTGCTTTTACGTATTATTCATTTTGTAGACTTCACTTTGCATAGTATTAATTTTATCCGTTAATTTGACAACTAGGCCTAGCTGATAAGACTTGAAGGTTTTCATGGTGAAAGAACTAAAACGACTGCGGTTACGCCATGGATCAATCTCTTTCTTGAGTATGTGTGGTCCCCGGTTCTTCTCAGAACCACACATAGTCAAGAAAGAGAATGATCCATGGTGTAACTGCAATCGTTTTTACTCATACGCCCAGCTGGCTACGCTTTGATAATGTTATACTCATCGTTTCACTTGTCCCACTAGGTAAAATATTTTGTAAGGGTAGTCATTTTACATGTCTTTTATACCGTGTTAGGGGCGTAGATTGGCGTTTTAAACCTTTCAAAGGAGACTACAAGAGGGATTTCTTACTTAAATCTTTTGACAATACGTTCATCCAAGTGAAATTGCTTTGCATTTGAAGTCTCGTGAAAATATCTTTCACCTTAATTTAAATTTATGTAGGGAGCCGTGCCCGAGTACGAGTAAAGGCCGCCCTCATCCTTCCAATCACACGTCACGGAGGTGATTAACATAAAGTTGATACTTTGGGGGCGCTTCCCGTGCACGCAGTGTGAATTAAGGTAGACTCTTTGCTATGGGGTTCTGTCTGTATTTCGCTTCTATTAATTTGCAAGGAGCAAGGCTTTGGCCATGCTCTTAAGTGCAGAAGAGTGTCAATGCTAGAAACCCCTAGTAAGTGCTTACCATAGAGGGGTCCCAACACGACACTTTTAGCGTCGATCTGCGCACTTCCGCGTTTGAAAACAAGGCTGTGTGTGTCAGCTTCAATAATATGATGAGATGATGGAAAGTAAGGAGTCAAGACACAAAATACATAAAAGTATATTAAATTCAGACTTTTCAAGCTGCAAAGTTTTGTGGAAGAGTCTTTCAGGATGACTCGACACGTAAAATCAAAAGAAAAAATAACGGCAATTTACCGCCAACAAATGTACCTGCGATGGTCTGTGTCTTGTGCAGTGGGCGTGGTTTAAACTGAAGTGGCATAACTTGGATACTGCATGTAGTGTGTGGACTCCTCGGGCGCCGTGACGAACTTCAACACTGAGAGCCTCGGTTTCGATGCAGATATGCGCAGACGGCGCTAATGTGAAATCCCTCTATTGTGTAAACATTTCACACTATCTTCGGTCGGAGAAATTGTAAAATTTACTGGACTTCGACTTGGTGACTGTGTTCTCTATCAAAACGTGCCATACTGTATAGACCTTTCCCCCCCATGTGACTAAATGTGAATACCACCACGTATGGACCGCCTTCCTACGGGCAGCTTCAACCACGTGCAAGCGCACGTGCCAACGCTGCGTGCTTGACTAGTTTATCACGATCGTGACATCATAGGAAAAAGGTCTATTGGTAAGCTAGTTGTGTTAGCCTTTGACATCACATTCATTTTATTATTTTTTTACGGTACCGTCTAGTCATTACACTACTCGGACTTTTTTCTTATGTAATAACTTGTAGTTCTGGAGTTTAGACATTTATTGTTTACGTGTTCCCCAAGTATTACATTGGCCCTAAATCAAAATGGCACATTTTAGATTAGCGTTGATATGGTAACGAGGAAAACATGTAAAATTGTTTGAGACTTGCAAACAGATTAATATCATTTGTTGTACTGTCAAGGGTGGTACCACATAAAAAAATTGCTCAAAAATACATACTAAATCATCAGTTTTGATAACGGCAAACAATGAGGGGAAAATTAGATTTAAGTAGTCCAGACGGTACTCTTTTAAATCATATCAAATTTATTTGCTTGGAATTAATTTGAAATTTTGGGGTCGTGGACACTTTCACGGAATTACCCACATCTTTGATATCTCTGCAAAAGATGTTATTCCAGTTCCCATAAAGTGATTGGTAGTATGTGTTGAGCCTGGAAGATTCTGTAAATGAGTGACTCCGGTATTCCAACAGTCTCGCATAAGGCTATTGAGGAACAGCAAGTCCGAGAAACGACTGTAGTCGACTATAGTTCGTCTAAACATCACCCAAACGATGAGTAGTTTGGACTATCAAGTCGACTATTCGGGACCGGGGCCCCAGGGCGTGGCTGCTCCACTGGTTATCAAGTGTAAATGAAGACTCTCCTCTGAAGGGTTACTGTATACGGTAAAAGATAGATTTTTAGCGAATAAGAATTAAACATTTGTTGTATTTGGCAAGGAATACGCCAGTCAGAAATCCCAGTCACGTGTCTGTAATCTCCTCAATGAAACGCAATGCAACTTTATTTATTTGAAGGATTCAAAACGAAGTCAAATGCTTGTAATTGCGAAAATGAAACCAGGTTTTCAGTCGTTTTCAAAATCTACGCCAAAATTGAAATATTATTTTGCAAATTGCATCGCGCATTTTGGGCCATTGGCTGGGGAAACATAAATTACCGATATTTCCATAAGTCTTAATAAACACGGCACTTTATTTTTTTTGATAAACTGGAGAAATGGTTTTCAAAGGTGAATGACCGCGGACATATAATTTCTTTCAAATCTGGTAGTGTTTTTTTAACACTTTTTCAGCATTTATTTCAAATTTTGTGCAGCTGCATTCATAAAATACGGTGGTCTAATGCTGTCTAATCATTATCAGGTTATCTCTGTGAACTTTGTATTTTATGAAAACAAATTTAGGTGTGTTGGAACAGTCCCAACGTCGTCTGCCTCGAAATGATCCATGCAAAATGATCAAGTGCGCATGCGCGAACTCTCACTAAAAGTGGTGCACAAAGGCATGGGAGTGAACATAGGTGGTCACCTCATGCAATTATTCTTACTGTCGCCCGTCGTGCGTCGCCCGTCGTCCGTCGTGCGTCGCCCGTCGTGCGTCGCCCATCAAATGGGTTGCATAGGACCTGCAAAAGCCGGGGTTTAACAAATGACAACGTGATGATTCCATTCACTTCTAAGGATCTTTTCCCAATAAGGCAAGTACAAATCCCACCCGCAGTACTAGTCCCATAATTAATGCCAATAATGCTAGACTACCCCTGCCCCTTGACAAGAAAATGTCGCCTTTCTGAGAATTCAACCAAGTGTTTTTTGGGGGCAACACATTTTCAGCGAAAATATTCAGGCCAAGTTATCCACAGTATAATTCTACTTTGCATACTGTAAAAACGTGCCAACTTGTTTTTATCAAATTCTAGAAAGAAATCTGCCAACCGATACAGATATTCCATTTTGTCCTCTCAATTTCACCTTGAAATACAGAAATACTGGACAGTGCAGTGGATAACAAATTGTTTATTGTTTTAAATGTATTGTTAGGGGGCAAATACCACTTGGTTTAAGTTTCAGAGAATGTGACGTGTTTGTTTTTTTATGAGAACAGGTTGTCCAGCATATCAGCATTATTTATGGGGCTAACAAGTAACGTTACTGTTTAC